CAACACCACCACCAACAACAACGAAAGCGCGGCACACACAAGTGAGATGCAGGTGGGGTGGGTTAGGGCCAGGGTGAAGCAGGAGGCAAACGCATCACCAACCACTGCAAAAACTACCTAGAAACTCACCTCCCTCTATATCTGAATGGGTTCTACTGACAAAGCGGTCAAAGCCCTGGTCAATTAAATGCAAAATATCACGACCACCTCAACCTCACTTACACTGTCAGCCACATTCACACTTGCAACCATCACACGGCCACTTTCCAAACTCCCCACCTTTGGATCATGGGCCAAAGTATGTTTGGTTTTCTGGAACTGCAAACATGAGGAGGAGAGAGGGACCCAGCGAAAACACAGCCAGAGCAGAGGAAGAATGGAACAGAAGGTTGGGTATAAACCATGCTTTGCAGGACACGGAGACAAGTCTAACCTAGAGATCTTTTTCTGACCCAGAGTGAAGCGGATGATTTTGCTTTGAGATGAACCCTTTGTTGCACTGTGTGATAGGAAAGAAAAAAGTGGAAGAGATGAATGAGGAGAGAGAAGATACATTATAGACACACAAGTAAATAATAAGAATCTTATGACAATGGCAATGCTCCTGATTTTTTCCCCCTTGGCCTGCTGTTTCCAGCAATATGCACCTTTCTTTCTAGTTCTAATTTTACTGATTTGCTATATTTCCAATGTGAAGAAATTGCTATCAAGAATATCAAAGACCTTTTGTGATTTTTTTCCCCTTAAACACCAAATATCTTTTATTCTTCCAGGTAATATAAGACCTCACAGTGAGAGTCTAAAACATGGGGCCTTTACAAGTAAGTAAACTTCGTACCTTTATTAGTATTGAGGTGTTTCTGTCTCTCCTGTGTGTTCTGTGGGGGTGCTTTTCAGATGACTGTCTGAAATATCACATAGTGTCGACCCAAAATAACGGGTATAGATGTCTGCAAATTTTACTGATCTCGGGAATTTGCTTTCAGTGCCATATAAGTGACCACCTAAAACCTGTTGAACTTGTAAAATTCTATTTTTTCAGACCATAAATTTGCACATGTGAAGAATCTCAGTTGGGCTTCATTAAGAAGTTAAACTGATTTAGTGGCTTAAGAAAGATAGAGCATATTTATCTTTCTTATACCCACCTACTCTGTACCATGTTCATAAAAGGAGCCGAGGGGAGAAATACAACGTTGGCTTCGCTAATCTTAGGAAGTGAAGAGACTGGATTTAAAATAAATAAAGCAATTGCCTGAACTTTTCCTAAGCAACTGAATACTGACACCACGTAAGGTAGACCCTGAGAGAGGGAGGCAAGTCTTAGGACTGCTTCTCTCCTGGACTCTAAGTCAATGAAGAATTTCATGGGGTGAACAGTGGATTACATTCTTGGCCACCTTGTGACGTGTGAGAAGAGCTGAAATGAAGAGGCAGTCAGTCTCCGTGAGGCTGCCATAGAAGAGGTGCTTTGACTCCTTCATGCCAATGCCTCCAATTTTCTTTGTCAAGTGTTTGCTACCCATGAGGACCTAAGTGTATCGGGTTGTCAGGAAAGTCATGACAGAAAAACAGCAACACGCCATGACTCTCCCAGTGACATAACAGATGGCTTTAAGGTAGCGGTAAAGTTGTTCGTATCTGTTTGGTTCTAGCAGAGGACCAAACAAACCTGGCACGTGCAGCCAGCATCAATACTTGACAGTGACAATCAATGGTTCAAGCCACCACTCTGCGGACTTGGTTATTAAAGATGGAATTTGGGGTCAAAAATACAATGGAAAGAAGTCACCGAGGCAATGTGATTATTCTTAAATTTAGAGTCTTAGCATGGGCTGTCATCTCTTCAGGCCTAGAGAATAAGATTACCCTTAGCAAAATTAGAAAGTATTTTAGGGTAGAGAGATAAAACTAGCCATCTGCAGAAGTAATCTGACCCAAGATAAAGGGACAAGTGAGAACGTAAAGCAACTCCAAAGCCCAGGCCATGTCTCCCATGTAGGGTCAGGAGCCGAGGTAGCCAGAACCAACTCTATGGCTAGAACGAGTGAATATACAAACCTGGCCTACATGAGCCTGGCTCTTCTTTAGGTATTTACTAATAGGAGGATGTTTTTTATCACTGGGACATGGGCGTTTTGACTAGAACATCTGGTTCTTTTAAGAAAACAAACGCCTACTGTAGAAATGGATGCCTTGGGCAAGCACGGCTCAGTGACACAAGCCAGTGCTTCTCAGCACACGCTCCTTGCAACCCTGTGCAGTGAGGTACTCTATAAAACCAGGGGCTGTGGCCAGGTGTGTAGAGCGTGCCCCTTCTGAAGTACACAGTACACACACCTGTGCCTCTGTCAGGCTTCCTCATCTCAATAAATATCCACAGAACCACCACTTACCTTCTGGCTCAAGCCAGAAATCTAGGCTTATCTGTGACTCCTGTTTCTCCCACTCCACAGTCAACCTGTTTGCAGGCCTCCTGACTCAACCTCAAAATCTCCCGAACCAGTTCATCTCCCTATCTGCTCGCACCATCTTGAGCCACGTCCTCTCACTTGCAGGATCACTGTAAAGGTCTCCCGACTGGGGACTTTCCTTCTATTCTCACTCCTCCACCAACTCATTCTCCAAAGAGAAGCGAAGGTGATTTTATCTTATTTATTTTATTTAAAAAAATTTTTAAAATAATTACTTATTTTTAATATTTTTAACATTTTATTCATTCATTTATTTTAATTTGACCAGAGAGAGAGACAGAGGAAGAGAGAGAGAGAGAGAAAGTGAGAAAGCAAGCCACCAGGTCCGGGACTTGAACCGTGGTCAGCCATGTGGGAGTGTCCAGCGCCTTAACCACCATGCCACCTGCTGGTCCCCTAGGTGATTTTATTTTTTAACTGTAAATAAAAAAGTCTTTCTTCTATATAAGACCCTCATGGCTTCCTGTCTCGGAATGGAGTCTAAACTCTTTACTGGGTTTACTTGCACTCCATGACCTGGCCTCAGAGCCACGGCAGCACAGGGCACAGGTCACACTGTAAGGTTGGAAATGGTAGCAGCCCTTTCTGCTTCCAAGCTTGCTGCTCATTTCCCTACTTTCCTTACTAAGTGATAGCCATACACCTTCCTCCCGTCCCTCCAAGATGCTGAGCCTCCTCTGACCGCAGGGCCTCTGCACCAGCTGCGCCCTCTCCTGGCTCTACTCCACAAATGCGTTCTGAGGACCTCCTTCCTTATCTCTCTTTCCTCTCCAGCTCAGTTGTCATGTCCTCGGAAAGACCTTCCCAGCAACCCAATCTAAATTAGCAACCCAGTTCCTCAGCATCTCTTCATCTTACTAACTATTCACCACCCTAATCTTTTTCTCCCATAGTTGCTCGTCTGCCTGGCTCCTCCAGTGGCATGTGGGGAGCAGGCACCTGTTGTCTCATTCACCCTTGACTCCCAAGAGCCTGAAATGGAGTCTGACACATACAAGACTTTTTGCTGATTAAATAAGTGAATACCTATTGGCAGGTTCGGGGATCTGACTAGGCCTACAAAAATAGTAGTAACAACTGAACCAGATTATCCCCCAGTTCCTTTCCTCACAGGTCCCTTCTCCTGCAATCTAACCCAAGTTTGCATCCCAGGAAATAGGCACTCCGCAGAAGGCCATAAGAGGGATGACGCCCTGGTCATCACCACCACCATCATCCATTGGGGAACTGAGTGGGGCGTGGCTCTGACTCGGACAGCTGTGCAGGGACTGGGGACGACTGGCTGCCTGGCTGCCTCCTCCTCATTGCTAGTCCAGGCATCTCTTCTCTATCACACATTTCAGAATGTGAATTGGACATAATTAGATAATTAATTAGGAGCCCTGATTTACATTATGTCCATCGCTTCTGGTTTTAACACGTTCACAATTGGGAAATAGCACTTCTCGTGGGAAGGGAAGCTGTGAAGCTGTAACCAGCTACAGGGCAGCTGCTGAGTCGGAGCAGCTTCTGTTGTGCCCAACACCGGCGGGTGGTAAAGGGTACTGAGGATGCAGAGAAGCCTTTCGGCTGCTCACATTGGTGCTTCAGAGGACGGGGAAGGAAAGGCTCTGACTCTGTAGCACACATCAGATAATTCAAACAATTGATGTGATCGGTGACATTTAGGTTTTATAGTTTAAAGACTGATGGCTTTAAAGAAAACTGATTATGATGAATTTTTGTGCAGAACTTTACCATGAGTCAAAAACGTTCTAGTTCCTAATCTTCATTGAATAGCTTTTTCTGCCAGTAAACATGTTATAATTATTAGGAATGTAACTGCCCCCACGGTAACACAGTGGATATTAATTACAGTGCCATTCTGCTTGTACATCAGTCTATGGTGAGTCTGCCTAGCAAACATCAGCCCCTCTGGGACACCAGGCCCCAAACCTGCAGAGCAGGAGTTCTCTCCTGCATAATGGGACTCTCGCTGACTAAGGTCAAGAAAACACAGCTCCCACGGTATAAGTTCGACAAAGCCCCGTCATCTTTACTGTAACGGCTCTCATCATGGCTGTCTCCTCCCCACCAAGAGCACCTGCTGCCTTTCACCGGTGCTCGCTGCATTCCTCTTCTGGCAAAGGACAGGCACAGAAGAGAACTTCTGCCTCCACCAATTTTAACTACTCTCTTGTCTAACCCTGAAGGCCTTGGCTTGTGGGCAAACACATAAAAGGAGAGTGAATCTATTTTAGGTGCTGTTTATTGCACACCAGCGTGTGTGTAACAGGCCAGGGGCATGATGGGAACTGCTAATTAGTTCTGGCTGCTGGTGATCCCGACCTATAAAGGTACACATCGCCACCCGGCCCCGAGGAGGCCTCGCTGCACCCATTTCGAGGTCACACTGATTCCTTCCTGACTACCAGTAGCTCCCTGCACTGATGAGGCGTGAACAAAATGCACATACATTGGGGTAGGACTTGGTCAGTGGAGGAGGGCATCTGAAAAACAGAATTATCAGTTGGCAAGAGCGCCCACCTGGACTGCATTTCAGCTTGTGCTTTTGTCTGCTGATGTGGCGCTGGCTGGTGCGGCTGGCACAGGGCTTGGGGAGTGGCTGGCACCTGTTGCTGAGGAGGGCCAGCCTGGCACTGGGAAGGGGCCCCGGCTGCCTGGGACACGGCAGATGATAGAGGTGAGGAGAGGAGCTGCTTCTGGGGTTGCTGCTGCTGTTGCTTGTATCGGGAGAGGCTGAAGAAGAGGCCTAGAATGGCCTTGAGGTTTCCATTCCTGATTTCTGCAAGGCAATAAAGAGATCAAGTCAGAAGGGAAATCTTTCTTCTTCCTGCTCAATGGGCTGCTGCAGCCCTCACTGAGGGTAATTCCTTTAGGATATGACAGACTTCCTGAACATTTAATTGGTATCACAGTCAATTAAAATCAGACCTAAACCACAAAGACATTAGCTTACTCTGCCCACTGGGATTAGAGCAGATACAAGAGGCAAGTTGCAACTGGATGTCTGGCAAGGGCGACGAGGAAATTCTCAGTAAGGACACCGCTGAAAAGGCAAGCAGGACTGTGCTTGTTCTCCGGGCGGCTGATGGCGGAGGGAGGCGCGCTGGGCACCAGAGGAGACTCGCTGCTCTCGCATTGCTCTGCCAAGTTCGTCAGCCTTAAGCCACATCGAGTGCGCCAGGTGGCCACTGTCCCACTCCTACACCCTCCTCTGCTCTCCCCAGCTTCCTTCCCTCACGTACACGGCGCTGCGTCCCTCTTGTCCACTGAATAAATGACTCATTTGGGATGAGTGTAGAATAGACTGTAAAGACTTGCTTCTAGAAAGGACTCATAAAAGTATTTCTTAGAGTAAAAGAAATTGGAACAGTGGGAATAAAAATGTTTCTATCCCAGATTGTAATTTTCAGATGTTCAAATGCATTTGCCTCAAGGCATCCATAAAGAGTTACAGCGAAAAATCAAATATTTATACACAGGCAGAGGTGACCAACTGCGAGAGCTTTCTCCTTGGGTGATCTCCTCTTTGAAAGTTCTTTGAACACCAGATGCCGATGGTCCGAGTTTAAACTGCCCCTGAGGGTGAAGTGCTGGGGCCACCCAGCAGGAGGGACAGGGTAGGGAAACCTTGAGGGGATGCATACACAAGGGGGCTTCAAAAAGTTCGTGGAAAAATGGAATTACATTGAAATCTGCAGTTTCTTCATCCTGCGCATTTCCCATGAACCTTCTGAAGATCCCGCATCCTCAGTTCTACTTTGCTGCTGGCTGGATTTTGTTTTGTTTTAGTTCAGTTTTGTTTGAAACTGTCAGAGGGCCGTGTATCCTCTCTTTCTTGGCCACAGAGAGGGAGCGAGAGCACCCCCTACTGGGGCACGGCCACACCACGATCCCTTCTGCATCTCTCCATCCTGTCAGGATGGCGGCACGCACACGCATGCACAGACACATGTAGCCAGCATGTCTTCCCTGTCGTTAGAGCTGAGACTCAAACCACATAATTGGCCACGTGGGATCTGGCTCCCTTAACCACTAGGCCACACAGTCTCGATTTCTTTTCTGAACTAGCAAGTGTGGAAGAGGAATGTGAGGCCCAAGGAAGCTTCAGAGGGCATGAGAGCGGGATGGAAGGCTTCAGGAAGGCCTGCCTGTGGGTAGCACACCCCTCGGATTCGGCCCCAGGCTGGGGAAGAGGCTGCTAATAGAGGGACAAAAGCTTCCTCCATGGCCAGCGGCCAGCGGAGGGGCAGAGGTATGAATGGAGTCCTTTCAGAAACAAGCCTTGTGCTGCCTGGAGGAGGGGGCAGGGGCAGCCCTCCAGTGCCTCAGCCTGATTAAGCCAGGCTGGCTTCCTGCTACAGCATCGCTTTCTCCAGGCTCTGAAGAAACGGACAGTACGTATTTCTAGAATCCAGCCTTTACCCCCTCCCTCAGGAGCTAGCGAGTTCTGACAAGGGACAGGGTGGGCAGGAGCTTGGCGTGCAGAAAATCCCAGCCATGAGTCCCGTCTTGACTCCACTGCGTACCAGCTTTGCAACGCTGGACAAGCCACGTTGCATCTCTGGGCCTCGGTCAAAAGGCAACGTGGATACCACTGGCCCCCGACACCAGGTTGTTTTGCGGATCAAACAAAGCATATGTGTGACATGAACAGTGCATCCTGGGAAGAGTGAAACCCTTCGCTGGTCACGCTTCGTACACGGAGACTACAGGTCCTGGGGCCTGAGTGAGGTTCCCACACAGCTCCAGCTTCATGCCTTAAAATCAGCGTTCTTCCTGTTGTGACTTTAAATTTACTGCGCTGCCACGCTGGGCACTTGAGAAAAAGATAGTTTCCCCTCAAAACTGAATTGACTGAAAGGTGCGAGTGAGGGGACAGACGAGATCTCGGTACGATCTGTCAGTGGTTTTACAGCTGACACCAGGCCGTTTCACCGTTTGTAAGAGCGAGAGTGCTTGCTAACTAGTGCGTCTCAGGCTAACAAGAGCGACTGTGTGACTCAGGCTAAGCGTCTTAAGTGCAGCATCTCATTTAATCCTCATAACCCGAGAAGCGACATGGTTATTCCACTTACACTGAAGGGGAAACAGAAGCTCAGAGAGGACTTATGACCACTCCACAGTAACAGACATTGGGGTTGGATTTGAATCTAGTTTTTTTCTGGCTCAGAATCTGGTTTTCTTTCTTTCTCTCTCTCCCTCTCTCTCTCTCTCTCTTTCTTTCTTCCTTTCTTTGAGAGATTTTTGCTACAGGGCACATGTGCTTGCCTGAGAGATACAGAGACAGAAAGCAAGAAATCCCCCTCCCCCGGGGGGATGGCCATGCTGCAATCCCTTCTCCATTCTCCTCTCGGGATCTTGGGCATGCACGCACATGCTCCTGGCATGAGTTTTAAGCCACTGGGTCCAGGACTCGAACTGCTGTTGACCACATGAGAATCCAGTGACTTAACCATTACGCCATCTGCTGGTGCCCACAATCTGGTTTTCTAACACAGTAACATGGCTTTACTTGTACACCCATCATGGGTGATGAATTTGAGAGCAAACCAGATGATGTTTTATTTTAGCTAGTTATTGGGCATGTAACTATTCTTTATTCTTCTGGGTGTCAAACATTCCATGATATGTTTTTTAAAACCATGCAAGAAAAACAAAGAGGGGAGCAACTGGAAACTAGGAACTCACAATTGAGCATATTCAGGAGTTGTTCACCTTCAAAAACTAGGCACGCCCACAGTAGCACCCTGCATAACCCATCAGCCCCACTGTGGTGTAGATACACCAAGCCAGTCTCACCATCTACCAACTTACTGTTGTCATAATCCTCTGGTCCACTGTCCCAAAAACATTGTTTTTAATTTGTCAAAGAACATAGTGCTCCCCTGATAAATACACTTTTTCTTAGAAAGTAGTATTTTTATTATAGAGATCACCAAGTTTTAAATTATTTATTCAAGAGAGATTTTTGCTATAGAGCACGTGAGCTCGCTGGAGAGACAGAGAGAGACTGAGAGACAGAAAGCGAGAAATCACCCACAATCCCTTCTCCTCTTGGGATTTTGGGCACATACACATATGACCCGGGCATGAGTTTTAAGTTACCGTTTCTGGGACTTCCATGGTTGACTACGTGGGAGTCTAGCAATGTAGCCATTGTATCATCTGCTGGTCTCTATTTATTTTTGCACTAGAATGCATGCACTTGCCAAGGGGAGAGAGAGAGGGTGCGTGCACGTGAGCGAGCATGAGGAGGACGGTGAAAAAATACCTCCCGGGGGGATGACCACAGAGCCGGAAAAATTGGGGGTTGAATCTCTACTGTCCACCATTTATAGACTTGAGATTTTGCAAGATGCAACCTCTCTGAGCCTCAGTTTTTGTCTCCTTTAAAACGGGCACATTGTAAAAATTAAGGGAAGAGGCCAACCTTGTGGTCTGACAGTTAAAGGAGCCAGACTCCACATGACTAACCAAGTGGTCTGAATCCTGATCCTGATCCCGATCCCAATAGCTTTAAGAACACTCTGGTTCGTGTAAGGGCATACTCGGAGTCCCAGTGAGAAGGAGAAATGAAGGGGAAGGGGTTGCAACATGGCCACGCGCTATCACGAGGTACTTCCTCCATCTGTCTCTCTCTGTTGAGCGTGTATACCTTCTAGCAGAAAAAAAAATTTTTTTTTAATAATTAAATGAAGATTAAGCTAGAAAATGAGTACAAAGGACTCAGGACACTGGCTTTACTTCCCATTTTGGCTCAGAAAACAGTCATTCTACCCGGAACCTCCTCAGTAAGAGGAAGCCCAAGTCCAGCCATCCAGTTCATCCCCTGTCCCTCTCGACGCCAGCCACCGGTATCTATTATCCAAATCACCCTAATCATCCCACTTCAGAGGGATCTCAATGGTGACCTTGCTGGTTTTTAAAGAGCTTTATGAGGCATAATGTGTAGTCAGACAATTAAGCATAAAATTCAATGCTTTTTAGTAAATTCTAGCTTTGGAACATTTCCTTCACTCTAAAAAGATTCCTTATGCTCATGTCCAATGAATCCCCAAACCCACTTCTAGGAACCACCCATCTGCTTCGTTCAGATCGGCCTTTTCTGGATGGTTTCTGTAAATGTAATCACATGACATGAAGTCTCTGGCTTCTTTCACTTCACATCATGTTTTTAAGGGTCATGCGTGTTAGAGCATTTGTCACTTTGTTTCTTTATGTTGCTGGCTGGGACTTCAGTGCATGGACATACCACATTTTGTTCATGTTCACCAGTCAATGGACATTGGACTGTTTCATTTCCTTTTCAAAAGTACTGAATACTCTGGAAGCCACGTAGTTTATGCGGTGGGTGGTCTGTAACAGGCAGTATCCAAAATAGCAAGAATTGGATTCTTCCCGTATTTCCAGATGGTATTTGTCCATGCGGCCTGATAAGTCAATTCCACAGGAAGCCTAAAGACAAAATCCATCTGCGCACAAAAATGTCCTCCTCGTGACCTTTCCCAAAGTATTGGAAAAGAAAAGTACCGTTTCGTATCTGAACAACTAATCTCACGCTCTTGTCTTCCAGGGAAGGAAAAGCACACAGGCCTAAAGAAAACGCCTTGGACATGCCCAGGGCAGCACTGGCTAGCCAGTGGCTAAACCAGCTTGGGAATCCTGATCTCCCTTCTCTTCTGTGGACACCCCATGCAAACGGAAGAACACACATTCGCTAGAATTTTCATTAGAATTCAGTATGGCCTTGACTAACTCCTCTGGATTCAGACCGATCTC